GCAGTGTAGTAGGATTTGAAATCAGGGAGAGAGATGCCTCCTACATTTTTTCTATTTTTTAAGGAGTGCTTTGCTTATTTGGGGCTTCTTTCCATTCCAAATGAAACTAGAGATTATCTTTTCCATCTCCTTGAAGAATGGGATTGGTATTTGTATTGGGATTGCATTGAACGTCCTACAGTATTTTACAATTCTAGCATACCCAAATGCTGACAGACTCTGGGCCAAAGACCCCCAATTCATCTGGCAAGACCCCTCTGCTGACACCCTCTTGGGATGAAAAGAAGGCCATAGGAGCCCTGAGCGTTTCATACATGTCCCTCCTCAAGACGTGAGTGGCTATCCTAAGGACTGCCTTATAATTCTAATATAAATACACCCTAATTTACTCAACAAGTCCCCCACTGCTCAACATTTAGTTTACTTTATGTCTTTTGAAATTTCAAACAATGCTACAGTGAAAATCTCTCTTTCACATTAGGGCAGTAAAGCTTTAGGATAATGTTTTTGAAAGGTAATTGCTAGGTTAAAAGGAATATGTGTTTGTGGTTTTGATAGGTCCTACCAAGTTGTTTTCCATTGTATCAGCTTATATTCCCACCAGAAATGTAGAAAAGTGACTGTTTCTCTATATCCTCATAATTAAGTTTATTAAAATTGTCCATGGTATTTGCCAATCTGCTAAAAAAAAGAATCCCATGGTGTTTCAATATTTCTTTTCTCATTATGAATGAGACTGAGAATCTTTTCATATGTATAAGAGCTTTAGATATTTCTTTATCCATATTCTCTGCTCATTTTCTTGTGGATGGTAGACTTTTCCTCTTATAGAACCCTCTGTTTCAGGGTATTAACTCTTTGTGTGAGTATAATAAGCCATATCATGAGAGATAAAGATTATAGTTAATAACTATTTTGTTTTACTTGGACCCACAATCAACCCTCATGGTAGGAGCAGTGAAGTGTTGCATTGAACAAATCTGCTATCAAAGAGCCTCTTAAAGTGCTCTTTAGAGCAAGGATGTCAGTTTGAAATCTAAGGGTACCTGATTCAAAGTATAGTTTTTTCGGTTGCTTTGTATGCATGTGTTTTGCAGGGTGGTCTGGTGGTGTAATCTGTAGGAAGTTGTGCTGGTAACCCAAAGGAGGCAACTCTCTGGTAGTTTGAATCCACCAGCCATTCTACAGCAAAGGATGGATGATCTTTAATAGTATTTTACTGCCTCTGAAAACCTACTGGAGGGTCAGCTATGAGTCATTTCAGACTTGACAGTCATGAGTATTTTGAGTCATATGTTTGAAAGTTGGACAGTGATAAGGAAGGCCAAAGGAAAATTTAAGCCTTTTAAATGGGCATTTACTGTTCATGGATTTATCTTGCATTGGTACCAGCAGATCAGGAGACATATTGAATTGGGAAAGTCTGATGTCAGGGACCTCTCCAAAGTGTAGACAAGCAATAACGTCACTTTAAAGGCCAAGATGTGCCTGATTCGGGCCATGGTTTTTTCAGTCACTTGCTACGCATCTGAGAACTGGACCATGGCTAAGCCTTGATGCTTTTGAGTTTTTGTATAGGAGAAGAGTACTGAAAATCCCATGGACCTCCAAAAGAAAAACAGATATGTCTTAGAAAAAGTACAGCTTTTGTGCTCTTTACATGCAAAAAGAGTGACATTTTGGGCATGTTGTTAGGAGGGGCTATTCCTTGGAAAGGGACGTCAAGCTTGGAAAGGTGGAAGGTCGGCAAAAGAGAAAAGAGCTCTTAATGAGATGGATTGACATAGTGTACAGTGACTGCAGCAATGAGTATGTCAGAGATGACGGCCCACGATAGATAGGACAGGGCTCAGATCTGTTGTTCTTCAGGTCGCTATGAGTCATACTCAGCTTGACGACACTGACAAGAAGAAAAATAAGGCTTCAACTTGAAAATATATGTGTATAGAAGTTAAATGAGTAACCTATTACTGTCTTTGTTTGCACCATTAGGAATACATCCCTACTGTTTCCATCCTGTGTAATCCAGGAATGCGAGCTCGTCACTGGAACCAGATGTCAGAAATTGTAGGCTTTGACTTGACTCCAGACTCTGGAACGACACTGAGAAAAATTTTAAAATTAAACCTTACCCCATACTTGGATCAGTTTGAAGTAATAAGTGCAGGTGCAAGCAAGGTAAACAAAAAGATTGACTAGAATAAGGGAATGAATTTTTCTCCTCCACTGAAGAGCATTCTTTTAAATTTTTTTTAATATAAACTTTTTACTTCATACTGGTTTCCTTACAAAATTCGTATACATTGTTTTTCACAATGGATCTTTCCCATTTCCTTAATCCACTACTCCCTCTACCCATCAAATTGTGTGGCCCTATAATTCTGCCCCCCACCCATCCTACTCCCCTGTGCTCCTCTCTTTGAATCCTCATATACTTTTTATTAGTTATCTATTTCTACAATAATGATCTTACACAGTATTTGTCCTTATGAAACTGAGTTCGTTCACTTAGCATAATGCTCTCCAGTCCCTCCCAAGTTAGTGATTTACAAAATTATTGTTTCTTTGTGCTGAGTAGTATTTTATCATGTGACTGTACCATAAATTACTATTCAAATAATCCTAATATTTTGGGTTCAAAATATGGAATTGATAGCAGTTGGAGGAATAAGCAATAGAAGATAACTCTTTTTTCCTCAAAAAACACTTTGTTATCTTAACTTTCTGAATTCATACTAGAAATGGATTTTTTTTACTTCTACCACATTTTAATCTACATGGATAATTTGCTAGTCTTGATAAATAATTAGCCCACTTAAGGGACTAGATGAATATGTTTGTGGCATGTGCTGTATGTATTGTATGTGTTCTATCAGAGTAACATGACCCTAGAGAAAGGATTCTTTCAATATATAGACAACTCCTGGATCTAAAAGTCCATCAGGTATTTTGTTTGTCCTTCTTAATACTGACAGCAGTTTTAATATTAAATGGGTTTCTGAAAACCTGTATTATTTTTAAGTTGTTGTTGTTAGTGCTGTTAAGTTGGCTCCAACCCAAAGCAACTCCATGGGCATCAGAATGAAGCCTTGGTCTTGTGCCATTCTCACAGTTGTTGCTATGTTTGAGCCCATCATGGCAGTCACTGTATCAGTTTCATTGAGAGTCTTCCTCTTTTTCTTTTTTTTCCTATAATTATATTTTATTAATTTTCATAAACATTTACAGAGATTTTGGGTTTCCATTCATTCATTGTTGCACTATTCTCTCTA